CCAGTCGATTTTGAGTTCATGCTCTTTGGAATATCTGGAACATGATCAGATTGCAAGTTAATAGTGGTAAATATTCACAATACACATGCTCCGAATATAGAAATTCCGCATGATTAGATCCAGTAGGAGAGGAGTTACGTCTGAAAAGTACGGCTGAAGAATCATTCCACCGAAGACTTTTGAGCGCTACTGTACATTGCTTCCAAACCCGAAGTGCTATTCCAAGCCTCAGTTTTATATAAGATAAAATATGCTGAAAAGATGCCTCTCTTATGCGGAAATATTGCTAAGTTTATTAAGCCAGAGAAAGGAGTTTTTCCTGGGACCATGGCACCCACCGGTGGGTGCCAGTCGCGCACGAAATGGAAGGGGCGTGGTCCCAGGGGCGCGTCACGTTGAAATGGGCATTGTCATCAAAGGGTTAATTAGGTGTTGAATTGCAATATATAACACGCAGTTGATGTTTGTGTGCGGTTCAAAACATTCTGAGCAAGGATGTGAATGGTGTAGCACGTGTTCAAATTGCTGAGGGGCTGTTTTCATAGCCTGCCGGCCGGCCGGAGTGCCGGCCGATATAGTGCTAGGGGAGGGGAGGGAGGCAGACGGTCGGCCGAAGGGCTGATAACAAAGAGGAACAGGATCAAAAACCAAGCAACCAGGGGCTTGTACAAATGGTTTTTGATCTTGTCTCTCTTTGTTTACAGCATTTCGAAGAGGCATGGGCGCGTCGACTGACGGTCTGCCTCCCTCCTCCCTCCTAGCACTGCCTCGGCTGGCACGACGGCCGGCCGACCGGCGGACTATGAAAGCGGCCAGTCCGTCCAGTAGAGTTATATTGCTTTGTTATTACAGTGAGCATTCATGGAAGTCCTACATGATCAGCTGGTCCTCGATATCACTCTTACAATGTCTTACATTGGTTACCATGCTCATGGTAGTAACTTGGACCCTCTGTAAGATATGAAGGCCAATCTACTGACAGCACGTAACATGCCCAGGATGTAACGAACATGGCAATCGCATGGAAGCCGATTGGTTTTTAAATGAATGAACAAAAAGTTCGATGATTGTTCCCATGTATCCTTCCACCTCATTACTTTAAACGAAATTAACAAAATATTGCTAATAAGGATTACAGTATGCACATTCACCAGACACAGACTATCCTAATATCCCTTTTTGTCTTACTTATTGTTAGCCTGCATAACTACCGCGTTATTGACAAAGGGAGTGCGAGCATCATTTTACAGCATTTTTATAACAAATTGAATTGTAACGTCATGAGCTCTTCTGTTTTTCAGTTCTCAATTTTAGTAAAAACGATACTCGAAGTGTCTACTGCGTTTGAAAAGTTTAGGAAATTTTAGAGTTCAACACACCTGAAAAAAACTTGTAATTTCTTGCTTTATCAGGAATAAGCTATTCATATCAGGATTTCCAATTAAAAGTATTACTTACCTGTTCCGCATTGGTTTGTCACTCCTTCAATTGGATATGTACAGTTGCATTTGTAGGCGCAGTATTCGGTTATGGAATCGTCTACAACGCAGTTCCCTGGGGCTACATTCTTACCCACACGACATTTTCTCTTTGCTGTGGCCGCATAGCATGGGTTCACTTCTGGAAAAGTTTGTACAAGGGGCTCTTCTGCAAACTCACAGCGAATACATCCTGCACTTGTCAAGTTCGTAGATATGCTTTGACAGTCCAAAGCCTGTTGCTCTGTGAAGTTGATTGTAAGCCTGTTTCTTCGAAGAGCTCTCATTATCAGTGCTCTTTCGTCTTATTTTTTCGATTCCGATTTCCTTTTCGCTAGACCGTTTTGATTTTAATTGAAAGGAAATCCGTCAAAATCAACCACTTATATATCGTCGATCTATTCCCAAAGTTTGACGAAATCGCTTGTTGTGCTAGTAAATTGTGGACTGATCGGAGTGTGATTCGTTATAGTTTCGTGGTGTTGGCCTCTCAGATTACCACAATTAGCCCGTGGCACAAGTGCAAGAGACAAATTCCTCATACTTGATATCAACTCTTTTAGCTACAAGAATTGACTGCTACCATCCGCCTGTGTGCCAAAAACATACTGCTCTCCTTCATTTTAACGACTGATCTCACAAGGTAAACTTCAGTTCTGGGAACAAGTTTTAATTGAAATGGATGAGCAATTGCCAAATTCGGTTGGGTAGTTCTAACCTATCTTGCGTATGCTCAGCAAATTCCATTCGAACAGCACTTGTTTCACGGGACGAATATGGGTTCACGAGCAGAAATAGACTGATCAAAGAGAACTAGAGGGAGGGTATTTCGTTTCTTGACTCGCACTTGCTCAGGTCCTGCAGTTCCTGAGTTCAAAGTTTGGTGTAGTGTTACAGGTCCGTCGTCAATTGTGATTGTGATCATTTCCTGATTGATATCCATTAAATCAAAATAAAAACATCGGCGTTGAAAAATGTGTGGGATCGGGTGCAAGACTTTCAATCTAATAGATAAATCAGATGATAGGTTTTTTTGGATTCTCCTGGATTCTTGGCTGAATTGACCCTAATCATACCTGATTCGCAATGGTCTCCACTGTCACATGCAGGACAGATGCACAGCACACCACCTGTGTTCGGGTTAATAGTGCACGTGCCTTTCTTGCAAGGATTCTCTCCACAAGGATTACCTGCAATGCGAATGTGTGATGTTTTTAGCCTGAAATGTACCAAGAGGGGGTGGATATGGGAAGGTACATGCTTTTATCAACTGAGTAGTAGGTAATGTTGAGTTCAATCGAAGATAACCAGTTAGCGGAATAGACGATTTGAGCGGATGAAACCCTAATATCGACTGTTGCAATGGACGTAGCTGTAACGCTGAAAGTTCAAGTTTTGGTGAAAAGCGGGATTCAATTAGAATGAAGTAAACTTAAGTAAAGCTTATCTTCTCCTCCCTACTGGTTTCAACTGGAAAACTTATCTCTTATTGGTAAGCTCTATTCTCTTGAGCCGCCTTCACTACAAACTCCGATCAGCTCATCTGGAACTTGACTATTACGATGCCTATGTTTAAATAGGCGGGGTAGGCAGGGAAGAGGTGTTCATGAAGGCACACAAAAGTGAACGTTGACTGAAATCGCAGCCTTAATCACTCTATCCAATGCAAAGAATGGTGGACAGTTCTAGAGTTGTTCTCTTTTTCCTAATATTCCACACTGGTCTTCCCCACATTAAAGAAAACGGAACACATTTCTGTCGGTATCCACTCCTTCGAAAAATCAAAAAATACCTGACGAAACAGGTGGGATAGATCACGCTATTTCTCGACAGGCTATGTTTCCTATTGTTCTGCATTATCCTACAAGGAATGGCTACCTTTCCTGCCCTTGGCATTGCTAGGCAAGTTTCACAAGCCAGCAACGGAGCAGCTACCAACTAAGGTCCAAGTTTGTGTAACTGAGAAGCTACAAAAGACTCAAAGAGGAAAACAGCAGTGCAGGCTGAAGCAATGGGGACAGGGAGCAGCACTAGCGATGCTCAGCAAAGCTCTACAAGACGAAAGATAAGGAGGGCATGAACTTCAGACGGAACTGTCAATGCGCTTCCAAAGATATATCACAATGACTATCCACAATTCCTTTTATTAATTTTTCAGCAGTTTTATTTTCTTCTTACCTACCCATTGTAGGCGGTATGCATATGTTGTGTATCCGTTTCCATTGTTGGTGCCTTTTCTCACCTTTTAACTCACTCTTCCCTTCTCTGTTTATTTCAGGTTTCCTTATCTTTTTTCCCCTTGGAGGTGTGTGGTACTGCTGCGTGCATATCTGGGGGCACACAGGGGAGTTAATGTATCAAGCACGTTTATACTGTTTTGACAATTTATTAATAGTGGGATGTTACAATTAATTGCGGACGGAGGTGATTTAGCGGCAGGTGGTGCACTATCACACATGATGGTTCATATCCCGGCTCGTTATCCGCCTGGCCGACCAAGCCTTCCATCCTTCCGGGGTCGGCTAAATGGATCCAGACTCGTCTGGGAGGGTAAATGCACTGATTTGTATATCGACTGGCCACCGCAAGTCATTGCATAGGCAAAAAAAGCATTCAATACGCCTCTACGATTCCGGATGGAAGTCGAATGCGTGGCGCCCCTCTGACGGGATTGATCCACGCCCCAAGACTTTTTCCCTTGTCCTCCTACTATATCTTTTGTCTGTGCTCGCCTATCAACGATTAACATATTTCACCGGTAGTGGTAACCTTTTAAGAATAACTCCTGTTTGAGCGTTGATGATGTTGAGCGCGGCACCGGTGCCTGTGATAGTCACGTTTGCTTCGAAAACGACGTTGAATTCATCTCCGGCATTGAACACATCTGAGCATCGAACGTTCTGTAACAAATTCTAATGATAAACTCAGTAAAAAATTTTTCAATTTTGTCTTCTAGATATTGTATCAGTTCAGAGAACTATTCCATTTTTTTGAATGTGGCGATGACAGTGATTCCATCTTGCATTCCATTTCCGCTATGCAAACAGGGACCAGAAATAAAGGATTCTTTGCCTGCTGTCACCATGATACTTTACCATAAACGACAGAATACCTGGTTTTTTGCTTATTTCACGAATTCTACTATTTCTGGGGTGCGCAGCTCACTACTTCAGGCGGGAGCGTAATGAACATCTTTGAGAGGAATCCAAAGGTACATCTGGGAACCCTTCTTTTTCAAGAGCGTTTTAAGCGCACTTCAATCGTTAAGAAACGAGATAAAGAGTACAGAAGTCCTATAGTGTGCCCGACCTCTGATAGGATCTGAAAGCGCCCTAAAGGCACAATTTGCGATAAATATGGTTCCTGAGATAGCCCCATACGATGAATATGGCCGCCTGTACATCTACTACATATCTGGGCGCTGTCAGATTGTTCGGAAACCGATCTATAAGGCGTTATAGATTCTCAAAGATTGTAACGGCTGTATGGTGCACGCGAAGACGAACGAGTTTCGACGGCGTTGTGGAGACTGCACCATTCACAAAGTTATGGCCTATGGCTACAGTGAAATACAACCATCGGCATTCGTGGATTAATGTAGCTAACTCTTCATGAAGCTGGAAAGGCTGGAATCTCATTCGACTTGAAATTTAATTAGATTCAAATGAAGTCTTCTTAATCAGATTTAAGCTCTCCAGTAAGCTCTCATGAAGGCTCGATCACGTGGACTTTGATAATATAGCGTTGATACCGCTTCAACTCTTTACATTCTCCTGCATTCGGTCATACAATATGCTTTGAATAACTGAAAGAATCAGGCAGATTCAGAGCAGGAGCCAGTGTCGTCTATCGTTCCTAGAAAGCGTATTCCTTTAAAATTCTCGTCAAAAAATATTTCAGAATTAGACTGCCATTTTAGAGCACGAACAGAAGCCAGCCACAGAGCAAAATTCCAGACTATACTACGGATCAATCCCTATCTTTCGGATGAATCCCACTAATTCAAGTTTATTCCTTTACTCTTTTATATTTTCTCCTAATTTTTTATCAAAAACTCACGGTGACATTAGGAACCATGTAAGTGTGATGATCAGTGGTCACAGGCTCCTTCTTAATATCAGTGCATTTTCCCAGTGCTGAAAGAAGGCTGCTTGAGTAAAGCTAAATGAATTAACTTTCGGCACTTACGAGGTGTTGTTGTCGATATAAACGGCGTTGTAGTTGGAGTCTGAAAAACCACAATTATCTTGGAGTTTGCAAAATCACTGCGTTAGGTCTTGCTAGAGACGAA